TAAGGAAGATCTTTGAAAATTTATTTCTAATTTAACGACGACTGTAAACTTGCATCGTTTTATTTTCAAATGCATATAAATGCGACAATAAAAACGTAGAAATTGTAAGGAAGACCTCTGCAAATTTATATCTTATTCAACTGTGTGCATAAAAATGAGAAAGTAGTGATATTAATATGGTCACAAAAAGGTAACAATACTTTGCTTGCAAAAGTTACCGTACTTTCGATTTAAATATATCTCACTGATATTTTTAAGACACGAATTAATAGTAATATTCAAATTTATTTCAAAATTCCAAAAGAAAAATTCGTAAAATACTTGCAAGATTAATAGAAACCACAAAGACAATTTTTCTCCCGCAATTGCATGGATGCACATCTTCGATCACCGCAGTACTGCATAATTCATATTCTCAACTCGCTTTGCCCCCATCTTCGAACTAATAACAAGCTTATCGATCTTCCAGTTCCTTCTTTCTTTCTGCCAAGGATCTAAGGAAAACTACAAGCAAAATCTAACAAAACGAAACAACGATAACCAAAGCCCCCCCAAAAACAAAAGAAAAAACACAGGAAACGAAGGAACAGAAAAATATGAAACAAAGAACACAGGGGATCTTGAATGTCACTTCTTTATTATTACTGATGTACAATAATCCCTCGGGATTAGAGCCATTCGTTTCCCTCTGGATGACAGGTTCAATCTTACAATAAAATACACCGCACAAAGGACAAATCAACACTGATTCGCCTGGTTTTCTCTATCTTTCCCCCCTCCTTTCTCTCCGTTGCTTTCCCCAAAAGCGTCGCGACGCTCGAAACCGCCGAAAGTAAGTACATACTACTCGTATCCCTATCAGCCGAAGAGATGGCAGTATTGTCACGTCACGCACCACTCACACAATGAGCAGACGACGATGATAACGTTTGCTTACAGAGAGCGTTTTAAGTAACATCGATAAGTTCACCTTGACAACAGCTAATCGGTAGACATCGAGTGGGTGTATCGTCGGAAAAAAGGAAGTCGATACCGTTGGAACGTTATTACACTTCTAGGATCTTCCTCGAGGAGAGACAAAAAAAAGAGACTTCGTTTTTTCTCCCTCTCTCTCTCTCTCTATCGACATTTTCCAATCTCTCGAATATACATACGTATTATATATATATATATTTACCAAGATCTGTCTGATACGATGGTTTTCTTCATTTTTTTTTTCCTTTTTCACGATCTCTAACAATATTTCTGTCGGCGCAGAAAGTTGAGAAAAAAAAAAACAAAGAAAACACTGCGATGGATCGCGAATTGGAAGAAGAATAAAAAGATTTCTCGTCGATGATTTTGTAGAAGCGCGGTTACACGAGTTCGAATTCGTAAAGATACTATTATAAGAAGAGTGTGTCTGTGTGTATATATATATATGTGTGTGTGTGTGTGTATGCGTTTTGCAAGATCAACGACATACGTATTTCTTCTCTTTTCTTCACGGTTACACTCTTGTATTCTTTGAGTTAAGACTTACATCGAGTTTAGCTTAAATTACAAAAATACACAAAGGCACTTGATAAGAATTCCCTTTTTTCCTTTTTCCTCTTTTATCGTTATTATTACTATTACTCTTATTATTATTATTATTATTTCGTGAAGGTCCCTGTTGAAGTGACGCTTCGTTATACAGAACTCGATCTCTTGTCTCGTTTAATTAATTTTTCAACAACAACAACAACGACGACGACGCAAACGATAAATAATTATTCTCGACTTGGTTTCCGCGAAACTGATACCGACAATGATCTCGAACGAATTAAATGGTCGATGAGTGAACGTCGTTAATTCTCGCCCGTTCTCGTTTCAATGGACAACGAACGAAGTGTCGGCAGAGGAGCGATTCTTTTTTCTTCATCATCGAAATTCTTTGCAACACGCTCCGTTTTCTTTCCTTCGATCTTACGTCCTGCTTCTGGTTCCTCGTTCTTTCCCGGCTCGATTTCACAGTGCTGTAAGAAGATAGTCTGACTATCTGTGAGTCGAAGAAGGCGTCTTTCGAATCACACTTCTCTCTCGTTTTCGATACACGTTCCTTACTTCAATGCCTCTCTTAAACGTCACTTTCTCCTATTTTTCCAACATTTCGACACGATCGTTTTTTGGGCTTTATTTCTCTCTTTTACTTCATCCGTTGCTAAAATTCTGCTACAGATTCACAGGATTCTGGATTCAAGTATTGTCTTCGATTTTAACGCACGTTTCAATCACTCGATGCTAAAATGTTTACTTGAAAATTCGAGATTTCTTGGACCGCGCAAAAGCGTGAAATTATTGCAATCAAGGTCGAAGCTTTGTCTGTTCGATCGTCGAATTCCGAACTGCTCGTCCGATTCGACGAAGCTCGAATTTAATCAACGTATTGATATTCTCGTGTCAACTATTGTCACTTTGGTACGAATCTCTACCGATTTTTCGTTACAAAAGTAAAATCTTTTTCCTTTGATTCTCGTTTGATGGCACTTCTGAATTCTTCATCGACTCGACACCACGGCTCTCCTCAAGCTTGCTAACATTTTCGTGTTAACCAAGGCCGAAATCTTATCGACTTACTGGCTTAACTTTCAAACGCTAATCCTTCCGACAGCATCGCCTCGATACACACTTCACACGGCTATCGCGCTTGAAATTCTTCTTTAAATTCGACAAGCGCTTCGATAAACGTTGTTTCGTGGAACTTCGACACACCGTTGGATAGTCTTTAGTAAAATACGACATTGTTCCCTCTGCGATTGTAACACTTTCGATTGCTCGGCATCGCCGAAATTCCATCGATTTGAACTTCTCTAATTTTGTGTCTCTTCCCGTTTTTACATTTTACAGCTGCTTCAACTTGGTTCGTACCATTCTCAAACTAACATTTGCTACAGTGGTTCTTTCCTTCTACTGCCTCCTACTTGGCCCCTGAAACGGATGTACCACTCGAACTATGCTTGTTACAACACTGTTTCATTTGAAATATAGAAGATGCTCGAAGACGACGGTTCGAGAATTCTGGCAACTTACGTCACTTGAAAAGCTGATCAAAAGTAAGACTTAGGAAAAAACCGATTGCATCGAATGAAATTTTTCGCAGTGCAGGATTAAAACACCATGATCACTGTTACAATGAAAATAATTAAAGAAACAGATAAAAATTGTTAAAAATTTATTGTTCGCGTAAAAAGAGTTATTAAAGAATTGAAAAGCTCGTCAAGTAGTGAATTCTCGAACCACCCTAATTTTTCTTACACCTCGTATATACATACGCGTATTATTTATATATCTATACATAATTCGGATATACATAGGCATAGAGATCGCAGAAAATAGACAATGGACAGTATATGTATATGTGTGTTCGTATATATATATATTATTCTGTATCTTTCATACTTTGCTCTGAAAATGTCCCAAAAATGGATATTCTCCATAGTACCCGTTCTTTTGAGGAAAACACGTGAATCGTTTAACAGTACATCTACACAAAACTAACGTAGACTTATTTTCATCGTTTAGATTAGGAATATATATATATATGCGTGTAGGTATGTATGTATATATTTATAATAATATAACACACGTATCTCGCTGTTCTTCCTTATTTTTTCCTTTTTCTCCGTTTTCCTCTTTCGTGCGTTTCATCCCTTCTCTTGGTACAAGGTACACAGATCCGTAATCGTTAAACTTATCGTATATACAGCACGGATTAAAAAGATTAAATTGGTCTTATTGTACAGTAACGACGTAACACTAGTGGCCGCTAATTCATGCCATGGTCCGATTTAAATTCCTTCGTACCTGTCCTAGAGTCGATTCGAATTGTTTCTCCTTTATTCTTCCCCTTTTGTCCTCACCTTTGTCTCGAGTTCTCTTTCGAACGACGAATCATCGTTCCGATTGACCATTTCACCTGCACACCGGGTTTCGTTTCCTTCGAAACGCGTGTTCGTTTGTATCAAGCTTCTTTCGTCTGATCTCTCTGCGAGCATCGAGGTCTGTTCAACAGTGAAACTTCTTGTTTGTACATCGAAAGAAACAAGGGGGATGGAGTAAGAATTTTCTAGTTTCTCAAAGCATAATTTCTTAACTGTTACGTGTATATGATAGTTTTCGTAAAGATATTCAATCTGTTTAAAGTATAATATAAAGATACAAACTTTTTCGAAAAGATATGAATATATATTGTACATACATATTTTGTTCGTACAACGAGAGAAGTGGTTTGGAAGCAATTGAATCAAAGGATTAATCAAAGCCTCGGTTATCATAAATTTCGCCACGGAATAAATTCCTATAATTTATCGTTAATGTACACAGAATGAACGAACGCAGACGGCGCTTGCGACTTAAACAAACTTATCTTTATCGATATTACGTTAACCGCCGAGCGGATCCTCGACGAGGGTTCTTATCAGCTAACATTAATTAAAATTAATCGTTCGAAAGGAAACGAAAGTGGTCACGTTCGTTTTGATTAATTGGCACTTTGATCGCACCCCACATTCGCCGAATCTTCTCCTCGCGCAATAAGAACGACCAACTTTACTCCTTTCATTTCAAACGAGCATTATTAAATTGAAAATCCTAATGCACGTTTGAATCTCCTTACAAACACACCTCCTCAATTTCACCCTAATCTTCCTCCAGGATCCTCGAGTAAAACGAAAATGAAGGAGAATTACGCGAGGCGGAGAGCTTGAAATTGACGAAAAAGTGAGAGAGAAGAAACCGAGAAGAAAATTACAGTACAAAAATTGTCCAATATCCGCAAAGGGTGGGCGTAGAAAGTAAGTAAAATCGTGTGTGGAGTTTCCAGGAACTAAATTGGCCATTCGGTAGGAAACCACCCCGTGATACAATCTCACCAGCTGTTAAATCTCTCGCGAATACGTTATTCCAGCCTCCGCTATTGCTGTTCAGGGTTCCCCGTGTGGAAGTTTCGTCAGCATGCAGGGTAGCATAATCGAGCCGGACAGCACCGCCCTTACAATCTACCGTCAGGTACGGCCGGGGAGAGATTCACCCTTTTTTCTCTTCCTTTTTCACTCTATCTCTCTCCTCTTTCTCTTTCTTTCTCTCTGTTTAGAGCACGTGAAGATTCTCGCAGTTCTTGAATTTACTGTCCTCCTTACCGAACAGCCAGGTCAACATCTGTCTGGCCTTCATGCTGACACGCACCACGCCCCTGGATTTGTACCAATGGCCACTACCTTCGCTGGCCCCGTTTCCAGCACGGTTCTCCGCGTTCCCCTGCACGTTCTTCAGCCGTATCTGGTTCAGGATGCCGACAAGCAGGTCGTCCACGTTGTGGTTGATCCCGACCGAGACCTCGATGAACTTCACCCGATAGGTACACGCCAGGCACTTGCCATCTGCGGGCAGCACGCGCCGGATTAGAGAAGGGAAGCGTATATTTAAACCCCCGTCGCTGGCAAGGGCGCGTGTAGGATGGTGAAAAATAGCGCGATTGATCATTTTATCCGGAGAAAGTGTGCGAAAGGGGACAGGGAGTTCTGATAACGAGGAGAATATCAAGTGTTCCGCTTGGTTCAGCTGTTACATTGGGGTCTTTTTAGAGTGGAAGCGCTGAGAGGAAGGATGAGGAATGTTTACGATGTTGGAGTTTTTGGTTGTTCAGATAAGACTCTGGATTTGGTCTTTTTGTTGCTTGTACGTCAATGTGATATCGAAGGGTGAAGTGTGTATTTGTTGAATTAGATTGTCTATTTTACGAAAGACTTTAGTGTGGAGTTTTCGTTCTGCTTGGAGCGTGTTGCAGTCTACAGGATCAACCAACAGAGTGAAATATACAAAGTTGGATTTTTGGGTACTTTGAGGTGATTGGAATATGTTTGGATGTTGGTCAATTCGGTTTATCCAAAGTCCTCTTTCCTTGGTTTTTTAACGTAAATGTAATTGTGACTTATAAGAGTGCAATGTATTTTTTTTTTGTATTTTACTCTGAAGAAGAAAGGTAAAAAGTGGCGCAAAATTTTCTTGTAATAACAAGTCTTAGAGTCCTTAACAAGTTTGAAAATCCTGCGAGAGAAAGGACAGGTTAAAATATTCAAAGTAGCGTTTTGCTTGTTTTAGGTGATTAACTGATTTTTCTGAATTTTCAATGTAACTGTATATGGTTCACAAAAGTGAATTATATTTGTTGGCCTATTTTTTGTTATATATACTTGTGGATAATTATATGTTCAGTGTTATTTATGACATTTGACACAGTTAGTGTTACAGCAGCTTACCTCAAGATTTCGATGATATTGAAGTAATTTATTTCAAAAGATTTGTATGTTTAACTTTATCCAAAATTAAGATACACCTATATTTCCCTTCGTGCAAAACAATTTTTAACGCTAGTCGCAACGCTTTACTGCTGTCGCATTGGGAATAACGTGCATGTCTGACCATATACGGCCCACTTTCACTAGCAACTTCTTTAAATAGCTCTACAATTTCTAAAGTTGAAAGCGTTCGAAAAAAATGATCTTAGTCCGTAAGATAGTATTTAGACGTAGATTGCAATACATTTTCTTTTTTTTTATTTATACATACTAACCTTGGGAAGAAACCACCCTGGATCGAACGAGATCCACTTTGTTACCGACTAATATAGCCGGCTTTCCCCTGAGGAGATCCTGGTCGTGAAGACGTTCGAGATACTCTTCAGCCCTCTGGAACGACGCCTTGCTAATCACGGAATACATAATAACGAAGGCATCCGGGTGTATATTCTCCAGTTCCGTCTTTTTGAAACAGAAATGTGAACACAATTTGAAATAAGGGACTACGCCGTAACCGATCTATTTTTAGTATCGCTAAAAGCAATTAAAATCTACTCGATGTATACTAGAGACCGTTGAAAATATGTAACTGACGTAACATTGATAAAGATAAAAGATTAAATTACTCAAAATTAATCGGTAAGAGATTTTTCTTTTCTCGCCTCACATTCTCATTTATTATTCTCGTTCATTTCTATTTTCGAGTTAGAAGCAAATTAACTTAAGTAACATTCACGCAGTGTAAGTGACCGTTCATTATCCAACGCTAATTATTTATTCGTTAAATATTATTGAACCGTGCAATTTTTGCAAAATATTTATAAACGTCACGTTAATTCACTCTCACCGATATCACGAAGATCTGTGCTGAGAAAAGCAC